ACGTGATTTAAGCGGGCCGCGCCGGCACATCGGCGCTGCTCGCGCGGTACTTCTCTGCTTTGGTCTGGAGGCGGCAGGGCGCATATCGGCCGGTGGAATGCGAATTCTCCCTGAACTGAGAGCATGTGGCCTGCGAGAGCGGACTAGGTCGTGGGTCGCGTGTGGACATGTGGGTCCCCCTGCAAGGCTGCGGCAGCGGCTGTGCGGGAGAGGCGGGAGAATTCGAGTCTGGTCGGTAGCGCATTTCCGCATGTGTGCGTCATGGAGATCATGCGTGTGCGGGGTCCCGTCACACACATTCACATATATGGCGTTTGACGGGATCTTCATCCAATGCGGATAGGAGCGGAATACACGGTATATAGTGTCGACTGTCGTCGAGGCAACATGTTGTCTCATGACTCATGTCACCATAATGCACACCAATGAGCAACAAATGTGTTGCACGTGTGTCAAAAAATAAAAATAAAAAAATGCCGGGAGACCCGAGGTGTGCAAGGACGGAGGAGAGAGCGAGAGACGGCGCCGATCTCGCGTACAATAGAATACACACAGAGACACACGGTCGGGGTCGCACGAAAGACGAATGTCAAAATCAACTATCTGGTCCTCTCAAGTCAAGTACACAACGCGTCCCCGGTCCCCGCCCCGCCAGCCCGCCCAAGCGTCAAGGTACAAGGCCTGGCCAAGGCCTGGCCAAGGCCGAGGGGTCAGGGGTTGGGGCGGCGGCTGCCAGCGGGGCTAGCACCCACAGCCACACTGCGCTCGCCGTCGATCGCCGTCCTGTTGTGTCGCGACCCCTCACGCGATGGACGGGAAGGAAGCGCAATCGGCAAGCCCACACTTGTTTTTACCTCTCGCAATGCGAAAGTAGCCCTCTTCGCCCCACGTCGGGCCCCATGAATTGCGCACGATGAAGAAGGGCTTGCCTGCGGGGCAGCTTGGGGACACGTCAGCACGAGTAGCGCACGACGGGGGGCTCGCCTACGCCTTCCGAGATGCCACCGAGATGCCACCGAGATACCACCGAGATGAAACTGAGACGCGCCTCCCTCTCGCCCGCCGTCGGCCGGCGAGACGCCGTAGCCAACGGCGACCACGGCATGGTTGACATCCGATGGCGACGCCTGCTCGCATGCACGGGCTTTCAGACGCCCTTCAAGGCAACCTCGGCGCGGCTGACGTCGCGCAGCGGCGCCTTGCAGACGCCGTCGTAAACCCCCTTCTTGTAGAAGCGGAAGTCGGCCGACACCTGCAGCGGGCGCACGCTCCCCGCTGACCCTCGGCCACTGCAGGCCAGAGGCGGCGGCGGCGGGAGGAAGCGGCGAGCAGGAGGGGCCGCACAGCGGCGGCGTGCCTGGAAGGCGATCGAGACGGGGCCGCGCGAGCCGACGGCGGCTAGAAGGGCCGCCTCGTCGTAGGCGGTGATGTTGTTGATGGCGGACACCTGGGCGCGGGGAAAGCGTCTCCTCACACGTCGATCTGTGAAGACGGTGGCTGGGGGTGGTGGCGGCGTCCAAAACCCTGCTCGTGCAGGTGGGGTCCCTGTCCGCCTCCCATCCCTGAATGGGGCTGTCTGTTTTCTTACTTTCTTTGGCGGCGACCTTAGCGACGCCCTGCTTGTCGTACGCGCAAGTCTTGCCTGTCTTGCCCACGTACGGGTACACTGCCTCGGTGTCGAGCCCGCCTGTTCACAGCAAACAGCCGTGAGGATAATGTTGTTCACACTCTCCGGCTCGGCGTGTCAAGCGTGCCCGCGAAGTGGATGTACTCGAACGCCTGCGAGGGCAGCCCGCCGTTGCAGCCGTGGTTGTGAAAGGCTCCGGCGCAGTCGACGAGCTGCTGCTCGGAGAGGTTCTTCATCGCGCCGTACTTGAGGTAGACGTGCGCCTCCATCGACCCGACCGTGGAGAAGGTCCAGCACGAGCCGCAGTGCGCCTGGTTCTTGACCGGCCACGGCGCCAGGATCTTTTGCCGCCAGTCGAGCGCCTCCGGGAGCTTCGCGGAAGCGTCGAAGGACCACGAGGCGACGTGCGTCGCGGAGCAGTTCTGAGGGGCCTGCCGCGGCAGAGATCTGAGGGTCTAGTCAGGTTGAAACGGTGGTGAATGAGGGAGGGCCGCCGCGCACCATGAGTCGCTCCGCCTGAAACTCCGGCCAGGTCAAATCAGCAAATTCGTTCAGCTCCGCCGTCCAGCTGTCGGGCCGAGCGTTCTGCTCCTCCACCAACTCACGGCTCTCGAGCCACGTGAGGCGCCGAGCTGCGATGTCGGCCTCGGACGCATAGTTTTTGCGGTGCTGGAGCTGCCATGAGCGCCACTGGGCGTCGACGTCGGCGGGTTCGGGCGGCGAGTACGCCAGAGGAGAGATCAGGAAATAGAGCATCCACAGTGTCGAGTACCGCCAAGTAGTCGCCAGCCCGAGCAGGGTTCCGGCTCCTACCCAGATAGGGGGTCTGCCACTATGACTCGCACCAAAACGCCCTACCTACCTACCTATTGCGGGCGCCAATCGCCAGGCTCCGTGCCCCACCTACCTACCTATTCCCAAAACAAGCAAAACGACCCGGGCGCCGCCACCGCAGGCGCCGCCGCCGCACCCGTCTCGGCTGGCGTCCCAGCCGCAGGCGACTCGCCTGGCATGGCCCCGTTCGCGGCTAGCGCGTCTCCCGCGCGAGCGAAGCGGTTTTTTTTACCCCTCCCCCCCGCCGCGCCCACCACCACCACCTGCCTACCTATTGCGGGGCCCTCTGGGGCGGTCAAAACCGCGCGTCGCCCCGCTCGGTCGCTTCGCGTGCCACCGGCTCGCCCTCGGCGCGGTAATTCGCGTCGTCGCCAGCCACTTGCCGAAGCGGATCGTCCCCACCGCATCGTTGGGTGCAGACCGAGGGCCGTCCGCTGCATCGGCACGCTCTTCCCCGCCGCGGCCTGCGTCGCCAGGAACTCGCGCAGCCGAGGCGCACGCGCCGAAGCTGCACCGACAGCGCCGGCCCGTGGGGCGCTAGCATCGGCCGCCCATCGCCGCGCGCGGCCTCCTCCTGCTGCTCGTCATCCTCCGCCTCGAGGGCGTCCGCCAGCGCGCTGCGCCGCACACCCCGCCGCACAGGAGGCGGCGCCGGCCGCACCTCGGGCGCCGCTCGACGTCGCCCGCGGCACGGGCGCCCTGCTCGCCGTCCGAGCGTTGACTCGCCACTCCACGACCTCCACAACCCTCCACGACCCTCCATAACCCACTCTCGCTGCCCCAAACCTAAATCCTCTCTCTACGGCTTAGCATTCCCGTAGAGCTAGAGGTGGGCAGGTGCGTGCTGGTTTATATTTACGTACTGCTGACACTCTGCGTAGGATGGGGCGGTGACCGGCGTGTTTCTGTTACTACGTACGATTTAAATACTGATCGGCTAGGGGCCAGGGCACGCTCCTTACTCAATACTACACATAA